TCTCTCTCTCTCTCTCTCTCTCTCTCTCTCGCTCTCTCTCGCTATTACCTTCACCGTTTCGGACATTCATTCTATCAAGAGAAACAACACGTCTACTGACACATATTATTATACACTAGCACTGGCTCGTCTACTGGCTTAACGGAAGTGGGGGTACTGGCTGGTACTGCTCCTGCGCCCAAAGGGGGGGATCCTTCTCGCATCTCAGTTACTTTCTTTTTTTCTAAATCTCTTTCTCCCTCGTCACGCGCGATCCCCCAGCCGAATTTCTCTTTATTTTATTTCCTTCTCGTATTTCTCCGTCCATCTCCCTTGTCTTTGGTTCTCCAAGTCCTCAAGAGTAAAATCGTGAGCCTCCTCGCGGCAGAGCTACCTGGCTGGGATCAAAGTACAAGGTACCGCGGAGCGTACCGAGCTTTTCAACTAGAGGCACTAATCTTTCTAGAGATTGAAGATTAAAAAAGAAAAAGAAAAGAGAGTAGTACGTAAGGCACTCTAAAAGGCATTCAAAGGTAGTTCGTGTATCGGCATGTACTCACTAGGTTATTAGCAATAAGATATATTTTCAATACTAACTAGAGTCTCTCTCCTCTCCCTGTGGTACTGTATAGATTGTAGCATCATAGCAATTGTACAATAACAACACGTGTACAAGTGTGCTATATTCGTTTGCAGGTGGCATGCTCGCGTATATGAAAAACTTTAGGCACGTGTATAGTTAAGTAAAAGCGCAAAAACATGGTAAAAGTTCATAGGTCAACACGAGAGACTGACAGAGAAATGCAAAATCTAAAGGGTTAAAGGGCCAAAAGGGTTCAGGCTAACAGCATGGATAGGCAAAGGTGCTAAATGTATTCGGTCTCGATGTAGTTGCGTTCGATCCACCCGGATCGCAGCTTCGGTTCGGCTTCAGGTCGAGATTGAAGAAAACCCAAGTGCGACCCGAGGAACAAGTGTCAGTGTGAAGATAACGATGTGCGTGGTGGTACGTGAGATGAGTCTCTCGTGAGATGGGGAGCAGGAATGTGAAGATCACACGTGTGTGGAGTATGGAGGTGACGATGGTGACGATGGTGTCGCGACTAACAGGACGGAAAGAGGAGAGACTGTTTATTTTTTTTTATTTATTTTTTTTTTCTTGTTTCACTGAGCATGAAGACTCACCCTGCGGGCCAGAGGGGTTCGAGTTGGAGTTGGGCTGCGAGGAGTTGGGCTGAGGGGGCTGAGGTGGAGGCTGGGTCCCGGGGGGTGGCCCGTTCTGTGGCATGTTCCAGGAGTTCCAGGAACCCCCGGGACCACCACCCGCAGCCCCGCCAGTACCCGCCGTGGGCCCGTAGCCCCCTGAAGCGGCCGCCGCCGGCCCACCTGCGATCATTAACCACACAAACACGTGTCACCACCTTCCGAGCTTTTCCACTTCTTTCCCTTTCACTTTCACTTTCACTCAGGCACCCACACACATGCTCTCACTCCCCCGTGCCCTCCTTGTTCCCTCGCTCTCCCTCTAATCCCCACACATTTTCCCTCGATCTTTCAATTGTCATGTTCTGTCCTCTGGGTCGACCGGCAGGAGGCAGCACATGTTCTCGCGTGTCTACGTCCTACGAGAGCATCGCCGCTTCTGCCGGCCTTCGTAAAGAAATAAATGAAAAAAAAAAAAAAAAATAAAAAAAAAAAGAGGATGGGATTAATGTAAAAGACTGTCCATGCGCGCCACATGCTATTCTCGCGAACATTCCGAGATTCCGTAGCCCATCATTATTTGCGGCTCCCTCTTTTTTCCCCGTCTCATTCTCTCGCGCTCTCGTAACTTTCCTTCGCGTTCCAGTCGAGAGACAGCCAACCTCTCCAAGCAGGATGGATGGGGAGGAGGGACAGGATCCAAGTTTAGTTAAATTTCCTAAACGGCGGCGTCCGGAGGTCGAATCGGCGCGACGGCTCTTCCAAGTCTTTCGCACTAGATTCTTTTTCTTTTTCTTGAAAAAAAAAAAACTTGACTCAACGGATGCCGAGTGCCCGCCGAGGCCTGAAACCGTCCCGACCTCCGGAGTGCCGAATGGCGACTCGAAACCAGGGGAAACCTCCAGCGATCACGGCTCTTGGACGTCGCGCGCTCCAGCACCGTGATGCGGATCCTCATCAGGATGCACTCTCCACTCTGGCATCCTGCATGAGGTCCGCGTTAATCCGGAATGAGACAGTCGGATAAAGTTAAAACCATTGTTAACGGTTAACCAAGAAAATAAATAGACATCCGTATACAGCCGTCCCATTCCAGATCGTTCGTTCGAACATTATCGAAACTTCTCCATTAGGCCCTAACGCGGCAACGGCAGGCTGGTTCTTTTCCTTAAAATTTAAATCCACGTCACGTCTTGCAATTCATACAGTTAATCGGCAAAGCAAAAAAGAGCCTTTTTGACACGGAGGGAGAGTAGAGAATGAAACGTGTATCGTATTCTCCAAATGTTATAAGGAAGAGAGAAAGAGAGAGAGTCTGTGTGTGTGTGTAGGTGTATGGGAGGGAGGGAGAGGGAGGGAGAGAGAGAGAGAGAGAGAGAGAGAGAGAGAGAGAGAGAGAGAGAACCAGCCTGTGATCGATGAGAATGTAGGACGAATATCGAAGCAACATAAGCATAAACATAGTAAGAGAGAAAGAGATTAAAACTCACCATAGCTCCCGTAGCCCTGAGTGGCAGCCGCTGGCTGCACGTTGTAGCTGCTACCCCACTGATGAGGGGGCGGCGGTGGAATCTGCTGTTGCTGAGGTGGACCAGGAGGTGCTCCCCAGCCCTGGGCATTGTACTGGGTACTGTATCCCGCGTATCCGCCAGTCTGAGGACTGGTGCCCCAGCCCTGGTACTGCTGCATCATATTCCCAGGTGGTCCCATGGGTCCCCCCATCATCGGTCCTCCCATCTGACCGTTCGGTCCACCCATAGGACCCATGTTACCAGCCATGCCCATTGGCGGACCACCCTGCTGCGGAGGGCCCCACTGACCCTGATGACTCTCGCTCATCTTGCTCGAGGAGTCCCGCGGCTCGGCACGTTTTATCTCTACCTGAAAGCAGGACAGTTCACCACGTGTGGAGAAGCAAGCAAGAGGGCCTCCTCTCACGATCGTGCGCGCATCCGAATTACGTCGTCATTTACTTTTCTTAACCGGTCGGACACGTCACAGAAGCGAACTCGCGAGCGATCGACGAAGCTGCGCGCGAAGTTATCGAAATGACGAGTCGATTCGGCTGCGCGACTCGCAAAAACAATTTCTATCTATGTTTCGCTCCCTCCTTTTCCCGGCGCAACGTTCGTCCAAGCCAGTGCATGTCTACGAACCTTCCGAATCCACTGTCGATCTCTCTCTCTCTCTCTCTCTCTCTCTCTCTGGTATCAACGAAGGAGAAACAATACAGAGGCCGAACGGGCAGGCCAGCCAAAGAGAAAGAGAATCGGCAAAACGCGAGGTCGACAGTGAGAGTCGGCACGAGAAGAGAAGAGATGCACACAGCAAACTGTTTATGCTAGCCTCGTGTCCTGAGATCATAACCACTGAGAGTGTAAAGGAGCTTTCTTGACTTAGAGTAATCTCGCAGCGTAACCGTAACCGTAGCAGCACCGTGTATCTATGCTCTAACAATAAGAAGGTTTGTGTCTACGAGTGGATGTGGATGTTTGTGCGTGCGTGCGTGCGTGGCATCGTCCACGTGGCGTGTCAGTGACGCGTGTGACGTGTGTGACGTGTGTGACGTGTACAACCAAATCGTAATGGTACCATAGATAAACCTATATCGTATCGTAACGTATTGTATCGTATATAAACGCTAGCATCGTACAAATAGAAAGAGACAGAACAAGAAGAAGAGCACACAGTGGTGAGAGAACAAGTGCCTGGTTAGAGCTGATCGCAACGATACACACATACATTTATATTTAGGTGCAAGTCTAACAAGGATAGCTATAGATATATATAGACGTATTTATATCTACGTAGCTAATAAGTATATAGATATAAATATATATGTACCGATTATCGTAATATAGTCTCTCATTCATATATTTATATTTATATGTATAGCTATAGATCTCTAGATCGATATATATATGTGTATATACGTAGGAGACTTACGCGCCCATTAATTTAATATAGTAGCAACGATATTAATTATTAAATAATATATTATACTTGTGGTGTGTAGATTATGCTATACCTGTTTTCCATTCAAGTTGACGAAATGCTCCGCGACACATCGGTCCACCGCGTCTTCGTCCTCAAAGCTGAGAAAGCCAAACCCTGCCGTCCAAACGTGACACATTGTATATCAAAAAATATGCCCCGAGGTTGTATCCCTCCAGGTATAAACAAATTGTTTGTCTCATGTTCTTGGTTAATTATCTCATCACATTTTATCATTTGCCATTCCTTTTTTTTTTTTTATTTTCCGGTTGTCGGCTTCAACTTTGGATTTTCATATATTTTGCTTTTATTCGGCCGACTTTGGATCCTCAGTCGCTTCGGCCGCGTCTCGTGGCTTGGCGTATAGATCGATCAAAACGTGATTTCATTTACAATCTATTTTCATTAGTCTTTATGCTTTTTTTTTTTTTTTTTTTTTTTTTTGTTTTATTTTTTTTTTTTTTTTACATTTTTTTTTTT